ACTACGTTAATATAGTATAGTAAATACGTTTATTTATATTACTATTAATAAGGTAGTATTTATAGAGATACCTTTAGGCTACTTAATTACTAGCTAGACTTTTTAGTTATTAAAAGCACTTTATAGGCTTTAATAATCTCCTTTACTATAATAAAAACACCTTAAAGAAAGGCTTACTATATAAGGATTTTACTAAGTACTTAGTAATAATTACTATTAAAAAAAGGATTAACGTTTATAATAAGTAAGCGCGCTAGATAAGTAAGTGCGCTACCTAATTACAGCTACCTTATAAATATAACTAAGAAGTAACTATAAAATAATAAAATTAATTTAAACTACTTAGAATCCTATTCTTTAGATATTTCTTTATTAAACTAGCACGTTTATATATTATATCTAGCGTTCCTATAGGTGCTATACTACTATTTACCTATTTCTATCCTTAATTTATAACTACTACTCTAATACGTTTCCTCCTTAATTTAGGTTATTACCTCTCTCTATAACTAAATATCTTATATATTAGCTACACTAAGACTCCTTTTTTACTTTAGATAAGTTTTTTTTACCTTTTTATATTAGTTAAGTAGGTTATTCTCCTTATAAAAGGTTTTAACTTTAGCCTTTAATAAAATATTTTTATATATAATTCCTAACGCTTCTTTAAGAATATACTTATTAGCTATTAATTTATATATTAAAAAGCTATTTAGATAATTAATAAAGTAATCCTTAATAAGAGTTCCTTAAGAAGATATCTTTATTATATTATATAGTGTCTAGGAAGTTTAAGCTAGTAGTGTTATTAAAAGGGATCCTAAAGATATTAAAGTGTATAACTTAATATCTAGCTTTAATAGCATACTCTCTAGACTTAGAGGGATAAGCCTTACCCCTCTAAAGCCTCCTTAAATATTTACTTTTATAAAAGCTTACTTAAAGCGTTATAAATACTAAAAAGAGTTATCCTTTATATATAGTATACTATATATTTATCCTATTTCTACTATACACTAGCTTAAGGCTTAAAACACTTAATATTTAAAGGCTAAAG